TGTAGAGAAATATATCTCAGGTTTATTAATAACTTTCTTCATTTTCAAAACTCATTAAGACAGAAATTATAAAACAGTATTTACACCTTGTGTCTATTTATATTTAAGTTAAAGCATGCCAGAGAGAATGAAGGACAATCAGTATTTTTTCCCAAATGCCAGTCGCTCCATTCGCTCTGTTCCCAAATTTAACTCGAGACAAAAAAAAAAAAAAGTTATTACCACAATCACTAACAGTGTTCTGAGGTACAAAAAAACAAAACAACCCTCCCCCCCCACACACACACACACACACACATTATATAGGCACTGACAAACACATTCACGTGCACCATAATAAACCCAAACCCAGAACAATTTAAAGCAGGGGGTGTGGGATGGGGGGCCACTCCAACATGAACATGGAAAAAAATACAGTCCTTTGAAATAGGAGTGTGTGTTTGCGTGTGTCTCTGTGGTGTTTTAAGTAAAAAACAAGGAAAAAGAAAAACAGGAATGAACACACAAAAAAGTACAGTCATTAAAAAGTAGTGAAGCCAACACAGCAGTGAGAAAGTGCTTTAGCTTCTGTGTGGACGGGGAGTGAAATTATTGCAGTCACTTGATGAAGTCAGTGATAATATGATTATGAAATTTGGGTTACCAGCAGCATTGTGACACAACTGTGTGTTGTGTGCTGCTTCTGTTTTTAGACCACAAAAACCATGGACTCTTTGAATCTTTGTCACTTGCAAAATTCTTACTTGTTGCCTAAAAGACAAGAAATACAAACATTTCTTGGAAACGGAGTAAAACATGAGCACATGAAGCTAATGCAGATTCAAAAGCAGAACTAGTGTTTACTCACTGGGGCTTGTCATTAAAGCGTTGGAGAGGCTGCTGGTTTTCTTTCAATATTTGATTCAAATTGGTGTCAACTAACCTGGATAGTTGATTGATTTATGAATAATTAAATAGATGACTTCGGTTACCATTTATTGACAATCTTTCCCATTAGCGTTATCTAGTGGCATTTTAAGTGTGAAAAAAAGATGAAAAATCTCATTCAAGCAGCACTTTTTTTCCTTCTAAATATATTTCCATGTGCTCAAATACATTCACAGCCTGCTTGAAATGCATTTCCCCAAAACTGTTTAGCTGCAATATTTGCACAGAAGATGCCAGCCAACAGCCACAGCCTCTTTATAAGCAGCATCAGTGCTGTACTTTAGTCTTTGGTAGGCAGTAACATGCAATTAAACCTGCCAAATAAATGATTCAAATATACAAGTCACACTCACAAAGCACCTGGTTTGGTGCAAAAAGTTGTAGGTTTGCCAACTGAGACATAAAATGCATCATCTAACATTGAAATGTTAGAGGATCACTTTTGTATTTGGTGAAAGAAATAAAATAATAATAATTTGTGAAACAACATTAAGTCAACTACATGTACCTACGTCAAAAATGTTTATTTTCTAAAAACACTAAAATTCTAATCATGTGTTGCACTTGCTGAAGTTTTGGAAATTTACTGACCTCTCTGGCCTTTCCCACCACTGCTGAAACTCACTTTCATTGACATCTCACTTCAACAAGATAGGAAAATCCACAATAACGGAAATGCTTTTGGTTTCAGATTTCCCCATCCAGAAAACAAGTAGTAGTAGATGTAGTAATACTAATTTCTTCAAATTTCAAAATCATTTTTGCTGCTGGGTGTTATGTTAATGCTCCCGATCTCAAAAACCACAACAATAAAAGAAAAATCTATTTTTTTAACACCAGCTTGTGATCATCTTTCCTTTCGCTTGCTTCGTATCATACTCCTGGTGTCCTGCATATCCCAGAAGACTTGGTCACATCTTTTAGAGCAAAGCTGGAAACTTGTTTGCTACTCAAAGATGACAGAAAAAGTAAAGGCGGTGCAACCATAAACTTTATATCATCTTCAATGAAGTTGTGCATTTATTTTTACTGTTGACAACTGGAGGAACTGCGAGCCCAAGGACTGCCAACCTGTTTATCAAAAGACAGCCATGAGCTAATGCATTCACAATTTTACTCTAATTGGGACCTTGTTTTACTAAACAAACATCAAATTATACTAAATAAAAAACTTGCAATTCAGACTGCAAACTCAAAAGGAACCTTTTTGCTGTGGTCTTAAAGTAGATTTATTTCCTCATAAACTTTTATATAATTACATTTTCTTTGCAACCAGAGAAGTCACCCCTGCTGGCCATTAGAAAGAACACAGGATTAAGGCACTTCCACATTGGGCTTGTGTTTCAAACCTAAAGGCTATGACCATCTTTTAAGTATAGCCTAATAAAAAGTACCAAAAAGTGAACATCTGTTACATGTAGTTGTTAGTGTGTAAATAAAATTCTACAACGGGTGTCTTAAAAGCAGCAGAGTATCACAAAATAAAGAAATACCCACGAAACACGGTTGTGCTCCTGTTAGAGTTCAGGGAAAGAAAAATCCACCAGAAAACAGATTTTCAGATTCTTCTTTAAGACGTTGTCTGAGCGTACAGTAAAATATAACTGGTAAAATATAATCAAAAAACAAACAAACAAACAAAAAAACCGGACAGAATGTGGCTAATGTTGCATTTGGAGACACAAATACAAAAACTATGTTAGAGTGACCCCCTTTTCCTACATTAAAAACAAAAAGCAAACCCGAACATAATCACTGAATGGAAAGAAACATTTTAACATGTAAAATCTCCCAAAACGGTGAAATAAAATTGCATTTTCTCCCCTTCAAATCAACAAAAATATATACACGCATACACAGACATTAAACTCAATAAATAAACTCTCAGATTTCTTAAAGTATTTTCCAGTCAGGAGGTGATCAAGCTTCTCACTTTTGGTTTCTGCTCCCAACAAGTCAGATGATGGCCAGCTTTGGTCTCGTACACGCAAACTCACGCACAGACACAGACTACCCATCGTCTTTAGAAACAAAACAAAACAAAAAAACCCCAAAAAAAGTAGGAAAAGGATTCTTTGCTCTCGAACGCCTTCGTCTCTGCAACCCATCTAGAAACTCCACGTCTGTCCTCAGAGGAACAGAATTAAAGGTGACACAGATATGGCATTTGGAGAGCAGGGCAGCCACAGTTAACGTACCCTACATATTTAATTTAACACATTCAAAATATTCATGTTGATTGTCTTGTTCACAATACAGACTGGTGGTCTATCAGCGGCAAATCTCTTAACAACTCTGGGATAAAGGCTCTGGGCTACCAGCTGTTTCTATGCAGGAAACAAGGAAGAGAAAATATATCTCTATAGATAGAAATCCACCCCATCCCCATCCTCATTTAACCACAATATCCCCCCAATAAATATCTCACTATAAATTTCTATGGTACACGTATTACTTTGTGTGAACTCCGCAGACATGCTCGGGTTGTCTTTGTCCTCTAGCTGTATGGAGGAGGGGGATGCAGGTTGCTACACATGCGGCGATGGGCTGGTTTGGGGCTTTCGACCACACTTGCTTTTACGTACATCCGGAAATGAGGAGGAGGGCGGAGTCTCCCTGAGTCTCTGATTAGGGACAGTGATTTAGAAGCAACGCACACTCTTTCTCACACACACTACACCACACACACTTAAATAATCGGTAACACCTCTGAACGAGAAATGGAGGAGCTTTCTGGTCCAGACAAACAGGTCCTTCAGATCAAGAGGCATGTGCAAACACTGACGCGATACTAGTTCCATCGATCGGTAGAGGTGTGGAGACTTTGGTATGTGTGTGTTTGCTCTGTGTGTGTGCGCAATTGTGTGTGTGTGTGTTTAATCTTTGCGTATTTACACAGTATGAACGTGGCTTGACTCTTTGGGCCTCATCAGCTTGTGCCTGCATTCCCACTCACACAAACACGCACACTCACACACAATCCTCCCCTCCTCGGCATACAACCGGGCATAGTAGTGCACGTGGGCCAATGTAGGAGTATGGAGGGCTGGTACCAGTGGAGGCTGTCAGATTCTGTTCTCCACCTGGCTGTGGTGGTTGCCTGTGTGTGGCGAGTTCTGCTCATTGAGGAGGAGAAGCGTCGTCTCGTCCGGGCCGTTCTCCGTAGGGGTGGAGTCTGCTCCCAGGTCCGTAATGGTGGTGTTACCGATGGTGGTGGGAGGCGTCTGATCCATACGAATAGTGTTGTGGCTGCTCTCGGGGGACTGCGGCGTGCTGTCCAGGCGAGATGCCATCAGGCCGTTCTGGTACTGAGCTCGTGTGATCTGAAAAAATGAGGGATAATGAGAATAGTTATCATTCTTAATATGTTAGCAAAAACCTGCACAGTTGTATTTCTATCAGTTACTGAGTACTTTTAAAACTGCATGCCAACAGAACTTTTCAGAACTGTATGTCCTGGAAATTTCAATTTTAAAGACCAAAGGTGTGCCTGCATTTTAAACAGAATTTCTGTCTGACTTTACGAGAAATTGGATAACGTCACTGTGATGTCTAACTGGATCAATGTAAGGATAGTGCACGTAACTGTGTGATTTGTCCAGGAAACTCTGTACTTCTTTACTGACAAAGAGGCTAAAGTGAATCATTCCCTTTGTTTGCTGCGTGTGATGAAATGTTTTTTCCTGACGCTGCAAGGAAATGTATGTTTCTGGTCAGTCCATCTGTTAGACTTTTTCCCTATCACTATATTGATTGTGGGACATCACCACAGCACTGCCATCGTTCACCACACTTGCTGGAGTCTTCTGCAAAGAAAGCTGCACTCTCAAATCCATCTGTATCAACTGGGAATCTCTGAACTCCATTGAAATGCTGGTAAAGACCCACACAATCAGGCATTTGTGTCGGTTGCACCAGGTAATCAGAACTGAGAGGAGCATGAGAAGTAAAAGTAGTAAAAAATGACACCAAAGACACCATTCCAGCAGCTGTGATGTCACTTCTTGCATGCACATCTGTTTGTGAAGGCAATAATGGCGAGTGTAAATCAAGTGCAATGCTTCGCTGATAGGTCAAAGCCTTATTTTCATTTTAAATGCCACCTGATATAAAAATCAGAACTATTTTTAGCACTTGTTCCCAGAGCTCCTACACTTTTGAGAACTTCATAGACCCATGTCTACATATTGTAGCTGTTTACCGTCACCAGTGTCACAAATCTCCAGAAAAACTGGTAACATAAGCTCATTTCATTCACTGTATTGGTGTAGGTCCTTTAGCTTGGTCTGTTCTGCAGAGAAGAAAATATTTGTGATATATTTCTTTGCAGTGATGCGAAACCAACCGTTAAAAGTGTCCACTGCGGTTATGGTCTTTGCTTCTAATATATTATTTTGATGCATTTCTTCCTCTTCAACCCCTTTTCCCGTTCAGCAAGCTTTTCACCCAGTAAGAATGATAACAATTCATAGGAGCTTGGAAAGAAAATCGCCTGGAATTCTTTAAGTTGCTTGAAAACGTTTCACCTCTCATCCGAGAAGCTTCTTCAGTTCTAGGGTCAAATGGTGGAGAGTCCCAGATTTAAGCTCTGTGGGAGTGACCCACTGAGAGATACAATGGACCCCCTAATGATCCTCTAACTAATCACATGAGCCAAGGTGTGAAAATGGGCGTGGGTCCCAATCAGCCAGGGTTTCAGGTGAGCTCATTGTGAAAACTGGCCCCACCCTATCACGTGATTTCCTGAGGTCAGATGGCCCAGGATGTGAGTGGGCATTAAGGCGTCAGGGAAGGGATCTCAAAACTGGATTATAGATGGCAGAGAGTTGGTGTCGTAAGCCACCGCCTCTGTTCAAAGATGGTCACTCACAGTGGACATAGATGGCTTCTTTCACTCCTCTTTCAAACCATCTGTCTTCTCTGTCCAAAATATGAACACTGGCATCCTCGAAAGAGTGACCTTTGTCCTTTAGATGCAGATGGACCGCCGAGTCTTGTCCCGTGGAGGTGGCTCTTCTATGTTGTGCCATACGTTTATGAAGTGGCTGTTTGGTCTCTCCAATGTAGAGGTCTGGGCATTCCTCACTGCACTGTACAGCAAACACCACATTGTTAAGTTTGTGTTTAGGAGTTTTGGGACTCTCCACCATTTGACCCTAGAACTGAAGAAGCTTCTCGGATGAGAGGTGAAACGTCTTCAAGCAATTTAAAGAAGTCCAGACGCTTTTCTTTCCAAGCTGCTTAGATTACGATGACCCGGATGACTGAGAACCTTCACAGAGATAACAATTCATAGCACCATCATGTTCTGAAGCTACTGCATTGGTTGAATGACCACTATTTAGATAGCCAAAGATAGTAACCAACACAGGACCATAAATCCTGCATGAACTTTGGAAAGGCTTGTTCAAACCCACTCCACCCACTCCCCATGAACTGGTTAAAAAGTTAAAAATGGAATTCTAAAACATAATTTAGACTCTGGTCCTTATGGCGGAAAGACTTCCCCTAAAGGTTTCTAGTCCCTGGAGAAAGATTATGTGGTGACAAAAGGCCTTGATTGTTAATTTGGAGGTAAGAAAAAAAAACAAACAAAACAAAACAAAAAACAACCTTGGCAAACTGTAGGTCAGTGAGGGCTCGGACGTAGAAGTCTGGTATGTACTGCTGCATGGGGATGCTGTTGTTGAGCTGACTGTTGCTGCCGCTGACCGAAAGTGACTCCATCCGGTCGGCTCCGCTCATCGAGGCTGTTCGGTTCAAGCCGCTGATATGGGATGGTGAACGAAACTCTGCAAACACCCACACACATGCAGGAAAGGTTAATAGCACCAGGTCCTGTTACGCATTTAAAGACAGGGTTGTGTGATAAACACCTATCGGGCCAACCATGCCGTTGGTTGGGCTTGATGTTACTGTTTCAAAGCCTTTGATGGTGGAGACCTCAGAGGCACAAGATGCAGTGTAGCTTCAAATGCAGGTTAATATGAAGAATAATTAACGAGTGAGAGTGATTACTGACACACAATGTGTAATGGATGCACAGCAATAGCAGCAGTAACACCTAAACAGAAATAAAGTTAAACCTATGAAAGTAAAGGAGAAAAAAGGTAGTTAATATTTAGGTATTTAATCCACTCTAAGCACCGAAGCAAAGACGTGCATCGTGCTGTGGTCAAAGCCAACAACATCTAAAAGTTTTCCAAGAGCACCATCAAACTTATTAAGGACTTATTAAGAGAGCTGAAAGCAATATTTGACGCTGTAATTTGTTAAACATAAGTGTGAGTCAATGTTTAAATATGTGTCACATTTTCAAGTGATAACTCACAACAAACTGCTGAAAACCTCAAATTTTACTGTTCACTGGTTAGTCAACAATTGTAAAACTTTCCAGGTGGAAATTTCCTGGACAAAACTTTCGCACATTCAATTTTTGATAGAAGAAAGGTTTCTGTGTTTAGAATAATTAATATTTCTGTGTGACATATTAAAAAAAATGACTGGACTTCTTTAATTTTGTTGAAGACAGTTCATCCAAGAAGCTTCTTCAGTTCTAAGAGCAACTGGTTGAGAGTCACAGAAATTTAAGTCCTATTGAAAAATATAAAAGATTTGACTTAGAATGAAATAAAACTGAGAAAAACATAAAATACTCCCAGTCAGAGCTAATCAATAATAAACTAATGGATTAAATGACACATTATTTCAACTCAAGAGCATATGACGTATAGAGTTACATACAATAACCTCCACGGAACTCTATAAAGTGACACATAATAACAATCATAATGTAACCAGTACAGCTTAGCCATTAGTTCAGCTCATTTTAGCTCTAGATGGCCATAACATGCAGCATGCACCTCCCACTTCCCTCAGACTTGTTATGTTCACCCTCTGCTCACTCATAGTGTAATCACAATGATGACATTCACGGACGTCATCCAGCTGATGATACTCCTGGATGTGTCACACACGCGCTTCACACGCAAGCTCATTACCAGATGTGTGTTATTACCAGTTGGCGTGAGTCTTCCAGTAGGGGGCCTCAGTGAGTCATAGGAAACGGTTTTACCTGGACATGTCAAGTGTGTTAGCTTTCAAGAAATTAAGCTCTAAAGTTAATCCTGGTTGTCTATGGCTACTTTTTAAGTTAGTGGTTAGATGTCACTTCATCAGGAAACAATAATTGTCTAAAATAATCATTTTAAGATCCAGTAGGGAACCTTTCTTTAGTTGTATCCTGTCAACTTATTATGCAGCCACAACTGAAAACGACACTCAACCACTCACAAGTTAGCACCCTATTTAATTTCAAATCTTTCTTTACATATAAAAGTACCTTATAAAAAAAAGACATTATCCCATTGATCTGTGAGAATTATGAATTCTCAACTTGCATCATCTTAGTTCTGTGAAACTGTCATGTAACAATGAAGGAGTGGATCTGATTATCTCAAGGGAGAGGAATGATAAAGCATATCCGGCTTTATTGTCTAATGTTTTCTAAATACATCATCTTAATGTATAAAATTACACTTGAAAATGAAACAGGAAGCTCATAAGGAAAGTGTTTAATGAGGTCATAAGTTTCTCCCCCATACATATGCTCTCTGCTAGCTAAAAACGCAAGTGCTAAAGATAGCGATACCCCGGGCCTCCCTGGAAAGACACAATTGAAAGCCTAAATGGGAAAAGTATGAACCAATCATGCAGTTTGCCTAGCACATACATAGTTTTACAACCATTTCAGAGGTGTGGGGGCAGGGATATCTCTCTACTCATTATTACTCATTTAATGACATAAGTAAGTGTCATTTTTAACCTTTTTCTTGACTTACTGTGTTCAAAATGTGCTCAGTGGTAGGATGAACAGAGCCACTCTTTAGTCTGGATTGAGTTATTAATGAGGCTTTGATGTTATAAAACTGTGCCCACGTGTACTAAAAACATAAAAGTTTTAAACCTTATTGTGAGATCTGGTCACTGTGTCAAACCCCCCAAAAAGTCTCCTACTGGATCTTTGAGAACAAAACTCTGAAAATTTTAAAAGAACTACCCTCTACCTGTGAAGTAGTGCTCGCACAGTCAATCGGTGCTTTTAACAGTAAGGCAGACAAGTGATTGGACCAAATTCTAAATAACAATCACCATACACCCATTTTAATTTTTTTTTCTTACTGTGCTTTAAAAACACTAGTCTATTACAGCTATTAATATTCTTTAGTCGATTTGAAACGAGTGTTTTCGTGACATCGTCAGGTCAAGGACAACAAAAAGAGCTGAATTAAAAGGCTCACATGCTGCTTCTTAATAGCTCCACATTCTCCATTGAAAGCAGTACGTCCAGATGAAGAGAATCGATCTTTTGGGAGCTCATTGTGTTTTTCTTTTTTAAATTGAATTAGCAGTTATACTTAAAAACTCATGCGATGCCAACAGAAGACAACCCCATCTGAAGCTATCAGGAGCAGAGTGTGCAAAGAGCAGACAGCTTAACCCCCGAGGGGATTCATGTCCCTTCTGTGCATCTCATGATGTTGTCCCGTCCTTCTGAGTTTTATTTTAGATATGCCACGTGATCGTGTTATTCCCCCCGCATTCCCTCCCAGTTTAAGATGCGTGCTGACATTCTGGTTGATAAACTCTTTGATCAACTTTCATTATTTCAAAAAATTCGACAGACGCCAGTTTCACACTTGCATCGCCTCGGTGCTACTATGAATCAACGAATGTGCAAAATTAGCTTACTGTACAGACCAAAATCATTCTTTTTCTCTAACCACCAAGTCACAATATTCCACATCTCCATCATCCGTCTTCAAGTCTCTCCAATCTAGTTTAAAACACTCTAAACATACTTTACATGGATAACAGCCTAAAGCAAACTATCCAAAAACGTTTTTGAAAACACCCTTAAAGACACTTTTGAGACTAATAAAGGCAATTTGGGATTATTTTACACTTCATATAATTGAAATAACTGATGCTGCTTTTTGAAAGCAGAGCCTATTCAAATATTTAGGGGTTAAAAACGATCTATGGCTAATATTTGGTGTAGAGGTTGTCAAAAGGTAAGTTATTGCCATTTTGGTTACACATGTGACTGTGACTAAACAAAGCTATGTGTGCTAAAAAAAATCATTTTTTTCTTTTAAATGAACCTTCTTGGCCAAACATGCATAACACTCTAGAAATACTGGCAGTTGCTCGTGCTGTCCCTTAGCCTCCGAGCAGATTCACCTATGATAATATATGTGAAGATCCAAGATGACTTCCTCGGTTAATGCATTCCAAGATTACCAGAAAACCTGACTTTTGACTGGGGCATCGAGTTCACTGGGTTACAATCAATTTAAAAATCCTACTTTGCCTCATTCTCGAGTTCACAAAGTGGGTTGTGGTAACAACACAAACCAACACCGTTCAGGCTGAGAGAGAAAAAAAATGATCAAGCTTCGATTTAACGGATTTTTGCAAATAACAGGTTAATTTAAACAGAGATTAAGTTGTTTACAATGAAGTAAATTTAAATTAATGCTGGCCTACATTAAGAAAACACTGATTTACCATCTTCTTCTTTCCTCCTGCTCATTTACTGCCCAAAATTGTAACAATAAAATACAGATGTAGTTTGATCTGAGGTTGCTTTGGTTGATCAAAGAGTTTCTTTGCCAAAAAGTAGCTGTTAACCTCTAAATCTTTGCTCTCCTTAAAGGGCAAATCCGCCTTGAATCACACAGAGAAGAAAGCTAACGCTGTACTTCTGATCTGTGGGCTGAAACCTCAACGTGCTGCACCTTTGGGCAATCAAATGGCGATGTGAGGACAGGTGAGGACTGAGCAAAAATTACAGGACTGTATATAAAAGTCTTATCTGTGATCTATTATTTAAACCCACAAAGAGCACTGCCATGAGAATTTCTCTTCTCTTAGTGATCCGGCATCAATTCGCCCAACATGTACAACAGAGTCAAAGCTCTGTTGCCCCCCTCTACTCAAGCTCCCCTCTACTCAAGCTCTACCCATCCACCCAGTACCCATGTGTCCTTTGTGTTAAAGGACCCAGACATGCCGGCGTTTACCTGGCAACCGAGAGAACAGAGAAAACCTCTTAAAGGAGAGGCGACGAGGACGATGTGCAGCCACTGGGAGAGGAGAGAAGGAAGGAAAGAAGGATAGAGGAGGTAATATTGATGAGGAGAGACAGAGGGGGCAGAGGAATGAAGGCGAGGGAGGGACAGTCAGTGAGAGACAGATCTGCTTCCAGTCTGGACAAGGACATGCAAAACCGGGAGAAACTCTGCTCCACTGAAAGAATCACCACACGTCGGGTTACACCGTTTGCAGGTGAAGTGAAATTTTCAGGTTCTCGTTACTCAGCTTCTTCTGAAAGTCTAATTGATCAGAAATTTGATGAAATGAGTGACAGAAGATGACAAAGGAAAATAAGAAAATACAAGTATTTCACATGTTTCACCATCTGAGGCACTTGAGAGAGTAAACCACTTATTCTGAATATGGAACTGAAAGGAAATACAGAAGAGAAATCAGATTATTTATGTCAGATTAGATGCTGATTCATTGTGATTTAATGTGGCAATGTTAGACACACGGAAACTCAATCACTGCTCTGGGGTTTTCACAGCCTACACTATGTGGATGAAAGTATTGGGCCACGCTTCTGAGTATTTCACTCTCAGCTGTAAGTGGTATTACCAAAATAGAAGATAAAAGAACCACAGCAAATCAGCCACAAAGTGGCAGACCACATGACACTGCGGCGCAGCATTAGTGTGTACGTGCTGCTGGTCTGCTGACTCAATAACCACACAGTTCCCATCTTTCTCTGGTATTAACATCAGCACAAAAGCTGTACAGTCAGTCAGTGGCTGAGCACTTTCTATAGGTGTAATGTTTAGGTAGCCTTTAGCTTTTGTCCATACAGTCTCCCTGCAATGGTGATCAGACAGAATTGGAGCTTAACTTTTATTCACATGCCAATTTGAGCACCAAAAAGCTTTTTTCTATTAGAATCAGTTAGGGTACGGTCATCTTGAAAATCTTATGTCAGATCATCAGATCAGAACTAATGAATGCAACATTTGAAAACAGTGTTTATTTTCATTTTATAGAGCTTCTTAATAATACTAAGTACTAAATAATAAAACATTGTAAATCTAACCCGGCATTAATTTGGTGCTCACATTTGACACTTTACAGTAATCAATAGCTGTCAATACTTTTGAGCATCATGATAAATATACTCAAATTCAAAACATGACGAAAAATAATCAAGGCTATGGTTTTTGCAGGATACAGGGAGGAGGTAGAGCTTTGAAGGGGTGTTCTGGTCCAATATTTTCATAATGCCAGTGTGTGTTCATGTGTGTGCATATGATGATTTTAGAAAGCTGACTGATTCTCTCTCACAACTTTTTATTGTTGGGAATGAAAACCAAAGACTTTCAGTTCTTCATTTTTTAAATCATAGTAACACAGTACTAACACAGTGTTATCTCTTCATCTGGGTCCCAATATATTAACAGAGTTATGGGAAAAAGAAGTATAACATTAAATGATAATTCATTTCATATCAGAATGAATGTATTTCTTTAGTCCTTAAAGCATATTACCAGCTAATTTCTTTTATCTAAGTTTTATAAATGTACATTTTTTGTTATATTGCTTTTCTGCTAAACACATTGAAAAAGCTCAGTTTGAACCCGTTCAGCCTCGCAGTATTTTAGATTGAGTGTATTTTTCCTGGATTATGTAAAAAGGGTTCTGGTAAGTTGTCTAGAGAGATTTTTGATGCAACGTCCCACATCTGTCAGATCAAGCCGCTATCAGGCTGATATCTTGTCTGACCCCAGCATCGAAGGTGAGCACACCGAGATTTTCCCCGCAGATACTGAACAGATGTGCTGCAAAGACTGATGCGGCTCGATTGAACAGCAGAGATATAAGCTGGCAACTGAATACAAGCAGAAATAGACACTGTGTATAAAACTGGCAGAGAAAGGAAGGAAGTTTTGTCATGGTCCGCGGCCCGGTGTCCAAGGAGCTTATGGGATGCCCACGGGTGTGGCTGTCGACTCTACACCTGCATCCCATTCCAGGCGGTCATCAGGTGGACTATTTAACCCCGCTCAGCCAGCTGCTTCACGTCAGTCCGTTAGTCACCTTTCAGCGGTAACTTGGTGCCCAGGTGATGGTGGTTGTGAAACTCTGATTGCTCTGAACAACGCTAATCCTTTCATTGTGTGCTCAGGTAACCGTTCGGCATGTTTTGAGCCTCCTCCTGCCTGCCTGGAGTTCGGATCACCACCGGTCTCCTCTGTTTCCCTGCAGCTCTCCTGCGGACCCTCACCCCTCCCTCCGGTTCCCACGGCCCAGCCCTGATCGTAAGATTAATAACTCTACCCTGCGTATGCTGTTATTCCCCTGCTCCCCAGTCACCCTCTTCGTTCTGTTGCAGGCTCTCATGGTCCTGATTACGGCGTTCCCGAGTTGCTTATCTCCCGGTCCCTTTGTTTCCCATTTACTCGGCGTGTTTTCCTTTAACCCTTCTGGGACACGCTTAGTTAGAAATAAAGTTTATTTTGCGTGCACCTTGGCGTATTGTCTCTGCTGAACTACAGTTCTTGACAAGTTTTGAATGAACTGAAAGCATGACTTTATGAGACACTGTATGATAGAAGGGAGAGAGTTCAAAAGTCATCAACAACATCAGGAGGGGCTATGCGCTTACCTGCTGCTCTCTGGCAGGTAGCTCAATGCCCTCCTGGGTTTTAAATGCACCTTAGAACACACATGCATCAACACTACATATGAGCGGGCGGAAGGAGGTTTGGAGTCTTCACACACCCCCGTTCTCTGCGACCTGTCGGAGCAGGGGGGCTAGGAGGAGGAGATGGCCGCCCGATCGGGGTCTGGAAAGTGGGACCTCCCCGCTGCTGCTGAGCCGGGGCAGTCTGCTTCTCTCCACCCCAGGGAAAAGGGTAACACTACCTGGGTCTGGGGCTCTCCTCAGCTCTTTCTGGGACAGTGGCGCGGCTGCCCCTCTGTTGGTTTTCCTTGGTCTCTTGTGTTCTGGGGGCCTCTGGATGTCTGGAGTCTTGATCTCCTCCATACCTGCTTCATGCCCTGGAGGACGGGGCTGTGGCGCCCTCATGCTCACAGGTGTACACACGGGTGCTCACACACACACACAAACTACACCCTTTTTGGCTCCTACCTCAAAGCACACTGTGTGCTGTCGATCTTATGTGCTGCACAATAATGTTTAATATTTAGTATTTACTGTTATATTCCCATATATTATCGTGATGTTGTTTATTGTATTGCTCTCTTTTTCTCCTGCTTGTTTTCTCTTTTTTCTTTCTCAACAGGTGATCCAGGTGATTGATATATGTATTTTTTGTCTGCTTATTTTGTTGGTTTTTATTTTTTGCCCTTTATCCCCGTCCCTCTTTCCTGCTGTTTTTCTTTCCCTTTCTTTTCCCCAGTCAAGTCGGTCCCGTATTTAACAAGTGAAAATAAAATAAAATAAACAATAAAAGGTGAATCAAATAGACCATTACAGCAAGGCTGGGATGGTCTATTTGGTAAAGTAAATCCGTTGGGCATCTTTCTTCGCCTTTAGACAATAATTCTGATGGCAAAATAGCCAAACGTGACAGGCAAAAAAAGAAGTCATCAACAAAGCTGTTTCACAATCACTGTTGCAGTCATTTCTCCTTTCAGATACATGTGATATCCCATGGCCTCCGTGAACCCAGAACATTATTTTTTTAATGCTGAATACGTGCAGAAACACATGGTACAATGAAGACATAGTTCTTGTTGAAGGGACGTGAGAAACGTGAGCGTGCATTACATGTTTGTAACGCTTAAGCTACATGAAGTACGTGACCTATGGTTACTTCTAATTTACCAGCAGTTCACATATGACAAACAGCGAGTTTTCAGATTTGTTTTTCAAATATGAAACATGTAATAAGTTACTATGAGGTGCACCAAGTGTTTATGAACAAATTATGTGAATCCGATGAAAATGTCTCAAGCACAAAATGTTTGTGACTGTGTGCATGAAAAAAAGCAGTAATAGAAACTCGCACGCATACAGTTTCCTGTTGTGACACATGATGGTTGACGTGCTGCTTTGCACGTGCCCTCCTGCCAGCCAACAATTTTAATAACATTAATTATTTTTGAATAATAAACAATTTAAACTGTGTTCATGCATCCAGATCAGTTTCACTGGACTTCGGCACAGATTCCAGAGGCACCAAATGTCAATAGAATATTGTTATTGGCCAATATTCACCATATTTATTGATATATCAGTCGGTATCTGCAAATGAGAGAGCCCATCATATTTATCTGTTACTGAATCAGTTGTGCTTGTTTATGTTTAAGTATTGTGTGGTAAAGAGCTTAAAGTCACGTGGGAATAACATTCAACACTGGTCAAGGTGTGATGTTTAAACACTGGTATCAGCACACATTGGTGCATCCCTTAGACTGCTGTCTAACGTATGGGACCTGCAGGTGATTCACTGGTTGAGATCATTTTCATACTCAAAACATTCAGTGACCTCTAGTGTCCTGATGTTGGTGGTGCTATGATTCTGGAAGACACCACTCCCATCAAGCTAAAAATGTTTCAATGTAAGTTAAAGGTCAGCGATTTGCAGTAACACAAAACACGGTACCAAAAAGCTCTCCTCGCTCTAGTTTCACGGGTTTATTTTTTTCCTTTAATTTGCCACCAGACTGTATTTTACGAGCCCTTTGAAGTTGCCAACTGTAATGTTTTAAACTGTGCACCAGGTGGGGCTGGAAGACTTCTAATTCCTCTCCAAGGTGGGAATAAAGTGCAGGAATCTGATTGGTGATATGTATGTTTTGAATTTCAGGAACCTGGGGGACGGGCCAAAGAAGAGTGCTGCGTACTTTTGTGTACTTTTAGATGCTTTTTCTTTTTTGTCCCTGTAAACGTTTACACTTTGCTCTGTAGTGGTTCCTTCTTGCTATTTAACTAATACTAATACTACTAACTAATAGAACTTTACGTAGTCAGCTGTTAAATGTATTTAATTTATTTATCATATTCTACATATGATAAGCAACATGCTGTGTCGCACTAAAAAGAAATCCTGGGCCACATAATAATGTTGCAAAGCTGTCCGTCTGTCTGTACCAGCTGAGATATTGGTGTAATGCTCTTTGTGTGTGTGTGAAATACAGTAATGTGTTCTGGACTCACCCAGTGTGGGAGCACTGAGTGCCATGATACCATAGTATGAGAAAGGTCCGGTCTCAAACTTCATGTTCTCATTTCCAGCCTCCACCTCCACTCGACCCTGCAAAATCAAGACAGACGTTTATGTTTTTTAACAGTTATGGCTGCAACTGTTCATGTGGATTTACTCTGCAAACTCATCCTCAAGCCTTGTGCTGAGCCACATGCAATATTTCAGAACCAATGAAAAATTAAGGCAGACATAATAGATGATTTAAAATATCTATTTCTATTTAAATGACCGCAGCATTTCAGAATATTTATGTTCTTAGATTCCAGCTATCCATTTAATCTGAAGCTAATGTTTCTATGCCAAAATAATACAAAAGATCTTACTCATTTTGACATAAATGCAGCGAAACATAACGTGGCTCTAAAATTGCCTCATGACTTGAGGCATGTAAATGTTCTGTAGTGAACCCTTTGGGGCTGTGCATATTAGACAAGGTCATATCCTCACGACAGAACTAAACTTTCAGCAAACTGATTAAACATATGTGTGAAAGAGAAGGAGAGAGTTTTTATTTAAAAGGCATTTATTTATTTCCTATTATTCCTGTTCTCGCTAATCACAGGCTAACAAGTCACTATTATCGTATTTTCACTGCATATAGTACTGTGTATGACTGCGTATGTGACAAATAAAATTTGAATTTGAAGTCCCTGCATATGCTGTAGTGTCCTTGGGTAAGACGCTAACCCCAGTGTCGGTTATATAACGACACAGCAGTGGTGTGTGTGTGTGTGTGGCGCACCTTAAAAATAAAAATAAAAAATTTACTTTGATTTTGTCCATCAAGTATTTCAAAGCCTTATCCAGTTTGCCATCATGTATGACAATAAAAAGGACGAATTCCTGATATTTAAAAACAGACTCACTGGCTATGTTTGGTCATTTTGATTAAAAATATTACTGGAGATACTGATTTACTTTGTGTTAAATCAGTCAATCCTTTCCCCTAATTAAGTCCTAAAGCACTGGAAGATCATAATTTCTGCTGAGCAGCCCTGACATTTCTTTTCTTTTCTGTGAAATTATACAACTTGGCCTCTAGAGGGCAGTGCAGTACCAGGTGAAAAAACCGTATAGCAGTTATTAGTGAGCATACTCAGGAGATGTTTTGCATCACTTGTGGCAAGAAATAGGTTTACTCTGGGCTTGATCAGACGTGAATAAACACTGTGAAACATGATACACATCTGGCAATGCTGCTGTCTGCAGAGGGAGGATGTGATGCAATGGAGAGAAAGGGGAGTTAGAGTAGCACAAGTTTCTTTGTAAAGAGATATGGAAGAGAGATTAGGGGCACACAGAGGGAGATGGAGGGATAAGAGGACAGAGGACAGGACAGAAGGGGGTTAAGGAGGCCTCTGTGTTGGAGGCAGTTGGCCCGGATCGTCCTGCTGGAATGTGTGAACTGCAGCAACAACACAGCACAGTTAATCCATGCTGCCATCCCTCCTTCACTCCATCCTCCCACCCCGCTGCAAATGGACTGAGCTGATGAAAACATAACAGGTGGTAAAATAAAAGGACAACAAAAGAAAGAGATGGGCAAACAGGACAGAGGGTGGGCCGTGCTTACAGCAGGACAATTAGCTTAGGACTTAAATTCTAACATCTGAATGAGCTTGCTGTTAAGTGTTGATTAAACCTAATTTGGAATTTTTGTGCAGATTTTAAAGCTTCCAAACACAGCAGCCATAACATATTTTATGTCTTTGGCTAATATTTCAGTTTAATGTTGAAATGACATTAATAAAGTGTCAACTTTACCAAAAACAGAAGGTAAGCACTGCTCTAAAAATGCAGGTTTGCATTCATGTTTCAGGAGTTTATTAAGGATTTATGTGGATAGAAATGCATATCATCAGCATGTAAAACCTGCAGACACAGATTAATAACTCAGCAATCAAAAGCCAATATAACTTAACAATCAGAAATGATTGTTTTAACTTAATTATCTGTGGATTTCCCTTTAAGACCTCCTGGTTCACCACGAGCAGCCAACAAACACAATTAATCTGACATAACCATCCATTGTGCTATTTTAGGGCGCGTGCCAATTTAGAAACCTGGCTTTGTTGTTACAAGAGATGAGAGGGAGAGAGAGTGTATCCGTCACTGGAGTTAGCAGGTGGGCGGTTTCGATCGCAAACTCTCTGGTGAATTAAACTTACAACATCGGTCTGAAGCATTTCACAACTGATGTCAAAAGTGATCAGAACAGAAATCTACACCACAGCCTAACACTCTAGAAACAATTAGGACACCAACCACATACAACCTGATTCGTGTATCCATATTTAGCCTTGTTTACCTTTTTGAGGTCTCGCTCTTCCTAAAATAAATACTCTGTTTGCTCTCAAAAAAGACTATTTCATCATTGCTGTGCCACTTCTTTATTTGATCTGCAAATAATTAAATGATTAATCTGGTGATTGAATTGATAAAAATGCTGATTAACATAAACACAGATGAGAGAAAGAGTGAAAGAAAACAGTAACAGTAAGACACACACACACACACACACACACACACGATTTGAGGTTAACTGGGTTAAATTCGTTACATATGGTGCTGATGTGTATTCCTGTGAAACTGTGTGTTATACAGCGAGCTGACGAACTGAGGGTGCAGAGGGGGTAACATCTAAAGGACAATAAACAATGACCAATCATCTGCTGACCTGTCAGGTGATTAATTATTTGACACTTTGTTTGCTTGCTAACTGCAGCACAGGGTGCCTCGAGGTTCCTCTTTATCTGAAACTGCACAGCATTTTTATCCTTTTCCCATCCCAGAGACAATGTGCGACTTTTTAATTGGCAGACGCTTTTCTGAAGTGTAGCTTTTAACCATCACGCCATCATATGTCATACAAAAGTGAACCAATTATCACCCTACTGGGGATAACTGCAAATAGTGCCAGCAGATTAGCAGATTTGAGCACAAAGAGATGACGGTGATAGTTTTCGCACAGCTGAATAAACGTCAAACAGAAAACTGATTAAACAGAAGTGCGAGATGGTCGAGAATTTGCTCCAGTGTCCTGTTATATATTACGGAGCAAGGAGCAGACGGCTGAGTTTATTAAAGTCCACCGACACAGCTGGTGACGCAAATCTGAAGGCTAGACCGTCCCATTTCACAGCTTTGCACTTCCGACCTATTCGCTCATCAAAGGCCCACGTAGACCGCGAAGGACGGGTCCTTGGAAGGATGCGTCCTAGGAATTGGGACACAGCTAAGAATGGGAAGCTACTTTTTACAGTGTAAAATCACAGCTCCCCCCCCCCCTTTTTTTTTTTGCCAGACTCATGTATTTTTCAGTTCTACACAGAGTAAAGTACAACAACAAAGTACAAGTGATTCTCAAAAGAAACACATGGCTTAAAAAGAAATGTGACAATTCATGGATGCCAAAGACAAGCAGCAGTTGTAACGGTTATTTGAATCATTATGTTTTATTTGCTTTAAGCTTATTCTGAATGAGGGTGTTGGTAAAGTTTCATTTAAAGAAAATGTATTTGTATTTGAAGTGGGGGTGTCCTGACAGTGACCTGTCTGAGTGTATTCCAGTGAGAGTTGTGATTAAAAAAACCCTACAAATTATAGTTTTGCACTAGTGCATCTAACAAATGAAAGATCACGTGTTCGATCCCAGGAGGAGACATGAATCCATTTAGGGCTGCATTAGCAGAGAATTAAATATGCAGCACTACCTGCTGTGGCGACTCCTTGTGAATAAGGGAGAAGTCAAAAGTCAGATCAAATGGCTGTGCAAATGTTAAACATGTTTTGGTGACTGGTATTCAGGTACAGTCACACCTTCAGGCTTGTCCTGGATACTCCCACATGCCTGCATGCTACAGTTTACAAGCCAACATTAACATGTAATGCTATTTGACCTTTTAGATTAAATTTGTATTTCAAGAACATGTTTTGGGTGGATGGGGGCAAAATCCAACTACATTTCCCAAATCAGGACAATCCTTCCTCTCAGTGGGCGAATTTTCATTTTAGCTTTATTTTGAAGGCTACGTTGACTTGGCACGACTCCCTTTGGCAAAATGTTTTGGTCCAAATTTGTCTGGTTAGAATCATTCACACCTGCTCACTGCACCCACAGGCTCCTGCAGAGTAATCGGAGGTCGAATGCCTTAATCAAGGACAACCCGCTACTGAAAGACGAGCAGACATTCGCTGCAAGCCTCCTCTAACTGTTCTCCTTTACTGGCAAAGCAGAAAAGAAAACAAACAACCACCAGGAAGATTCGACATCCCTCGAACAACTCCTCTACCGTTGCCCCACAAGTATACAAGGTTTACAGTAGCGAGACTTCTATGACTGCTAATGAAATTGTTAAACCTGCTCTGCCACCAGCGTTTTGCCTCTTACAAGTATATCAGAGCTGTGAAAGATGTCAATCATCTCCTGGCATGTTAGTCATGTCTGTGTGTATGTGAACACTGGCAAAGGTCAAATAGTGAGCTTGAAACATATGCATGCTAAAAACAAAGCAAACAAAAAAGAAACACACATAGAAACATGCTGAAGCTTGACTCCGAGCGACATAAGCCACACACGCTGCTGGACGGTTGGTGTTTAATTTAAATGGAGGTTAACGTGGGAGGGAGGAGAGAAAGAATAGAAACAGAGGGAGGCAGAGGACAAACGCGAGAGGTGTAAAGTCTGCCGGTGCTCTGATCAGACCCGTTTTCCTGGATCTGCACTGACCGACGTTAAGCAAAAGCACAGTCATGACATGAAAACATCATGAAAGCAGAGCACTTTCATTAGCCGTCCACCAGTGCTGGTTTATTAGGTATCAAAGTCATTTTTTTCAGATTTGGGATATGAGAAGTAAGTCTTTCTTAAAAGTCTCAGTCAGATCTGCAGTAAAAACTGTCTCAAACCTTAATTACGAAACCCTCTTAAGCTCCTGTATGAGATAAAAGCTCAGACTTTCTGCTCTAGTCTGCCCAAAAACAAAGTGAGTGAGAACCATAAGTGACACTAGCCTCGTGGTGATCAAACCACTGAGAATACATTTTAA